ATCCCTTTAAGCAGTCTGTGTAAAGCTTGGTCTTTCTTTCCTCATTCAAACCCTATTTCTTATGCTTTTTGATTAGTAAATACACATTTAATATCCCAAGGGAAGCAGCCCACCCAAAGCAGAGCTGGCCACTCTTAACATCTCCACTGTATTCAATGCGAGAGGTCTCTGCTTGGCTTTCTCTTTCTTAGTCACAGATTCAACCTGCAATGAAATTGCACATAACAAGAAATGACACATAATAACTCATGCAGTCACACATGAAGTGCTTTAGCACATATACCATCACTGAAACAGGAAATGACATATAACTGAGATACAAATACATACTTTAGCCTCCTTAGCAGTCTTTGCCATGTTGACAAACATTTGACCAATATCTCGGTCAAAAACTCTAACGCGGTCCCAGTCCAAGGTGAGTGGGCTGTCCTTTCCTTTAAAAACCTGTTTGCACCAAAAAAAAAAAAGAAATGGAAAATGCAGAAAAGCAAGTATGCAATGCAATATGATATACAGCTATTCTGTAAACAAATTTCTAAAATTGGATTTTGTCATTCAAGTGGTAAAGACCAGAACTGACCTTAGCTTGTACGACCCAGTATGCTTCAGGTTTGAAGGACTGGATCTTGTCGTGACGTTCCACACAGAACCCCAGTGTGGGAGTCTGACAGGGACCAAAAGAAATCAAGGAGGAGTCCAAATTCCCATATTTTCCCTGGAAGTATTTGGTTTGGAAACTAAAATCCAATGACAATGGTTAGGTGTGATGAATGACATCAGAACAGTTTGCACTACTGTTCAAAAGTTTTGGGGTCAGTAAAAAAAAAAAAAAAAAAAAAAATCAAAATCAAAATAAATTAATCATTTTATTCAGCAAGGTTGCATGAAATTGATCAAAAGTGACAGTAAAGTCATTTATAATGTTACAAAAGATTTCTATTTCAAATAAATGCTGTTATTTTGTACTTTATATTCATGAAAGACCCAGAAAAAAATGTATCATGGTTTTTCCAAGAAAATATTAAGCAGCACCACGCATAGGATTCAATTATATTTTGAAATATACTAAAATAGTAAAATATACTAAAATCTTTTAAATTGTAATAATATTACTATATTTTTGCTAAAATAACTGAAGCCTTGGTGAGCATAAGTGACTTTTAAAAAAAATCCTAGAGACCCCAAACTGTTCAGCAGCAGTGTATATTGCACAAAACAAGATTGCATTGTAATGCAATATATATATATATACTGTATATATATATAAAAACATTCAAAGCAGGTCTGCTCTACCCAAATGACCTCTTTCATACTAGGGCTGTAGCGATACACTAATCTCACGATACGATACGATACACGATATTCGGCTGACGATACGATATATATCACGATATTCAGCCAACGATACGATTCGATATAATTCGATACACTTACATCATTTTCTGAAAGATTTAAAGGGGACAGAGTGATTTTGGTGACATCTTGTGAGTCTTCCATTTACTTGGATTGAATTAATTGAACTGAAAACTGAAAACATCATTTACACAATATATGTCTCTGACTGGGCAGAGAGTACAGCTTGCAAATGCTGGACAAAATGAATCAAATATGTGTAGAGAAAATTAGTTCTATTTATTGAAAGACAACAGTGCAAACTGTAGCTTATAAGCCTTTGTTAATTGCAATACTGCACTTTATTTACTTTTCAATGGAGAGTTAAAAGGTGCAGCAAGTGGCCTGTTGTGAACAGTTTCTTTGCACTGCCTTTTCTTTGACAGCTTTTTTAGCTTGACACTGAACATGTGACGTGCTTCAGTTGTGCGCGAGGTCAAGCCGTCGCACGTCAGGGAAACTCTCTCCGCGCTGGCCAGGGAGGCTTTGACGTGTGCTCTTGCCTGAGTGTACAGCCTGGGAATGCAAACCTTGATGAGGTGTTCGCGGGTTGGAATAGGATAGCGGGGCTCCATCGCGTTCACCATGCGCCTAAAGCCGGCGTTTTCCACCACCGAATACGATTTTTTTTACATTTTTTTTTTTTTACTAAGCCTATTTAAAATCGTATTTGATTGCAGAGCGCCGCAGCGCATTCACGCAGCACTACCTCGCTCTCGCTCTCTCTCTCTCTCTCTCTCTCTCTCACACACACACACACACTCATCCGTACCTCGCGCACTTTCTCACTCACGGAACACCGCTGCACAAATCTGTCCAACACAGCGCTGTCAATTTCGGAGACCCAGCTTTAAAAAAAGCTACTAGCCAGCATGCAAGGAGCCTAGCCAACAAGGAGAGCTAAGTTGTTGTTTGAATACAGCTGGATTTTCGTCAATATCGATGCACGCGCGCAGCTGGCCACTAGCGGCTGGCTGACCAAATCACTCTTCATGCAACGCGAACGGGTTTAACACGGGGGATTTGAATGGGACTTATGTATCGATACTCGCGGCCTAAAAATCGATACTTTCTTGGGAGAAAAAATATCGATTTATATCGCAGAATCGATAAAATCGCTCAGCCCTATTTCATACCGTGTGAAAGCACACCCGATCCTGAGGTCCAGTTCCTGACGAGCATCTACGGACAGAGCCTCGTTCTGGTTGGGTTCTCCGAGTCGAGCCATGGCGTTACAGATATCGGTGTCTGTGATGGAGCTGAACTTGGCCCGATACACTGTGCGCTCATTACCGTAAGGCTTATTCATCCCAGGCTGAATGGCATCCAACACCTGAGATGGTACAACACACAGAAATGGAGAAAACACACTAAAAAAACAAGGCCAAACACCTCAGTCTCAGTTATCTGGACAAAATTTAGTTGTATTTTCTTTCTGTAGATTAACTGAAGTCGATTCAGACTCACCTCAAAACAAATGTTCTCTCCTTCTTTGTCACAGTCCAGCCACAGGACGACAAAGTCACAACCTTTTGCTTCAACCTGTCAACAACAGCAACTTTGGTATTGTAAAATTTATGGAAGGATTTTTAAATATGACTTTTTAAAATATAATATAATGTAATGTAACATAATATACCTGTCAAAAGTTTGGAAACAATAAAACATTTTTTTAATGTTTTTTGAAAGAAGCCCTTTTATGCTCACCAAGGCTGCATTTATTGAATAGAAAATACAGTAAAAACAATAATATTGTGAAATATTATTACAAATTAAAATAAAGGTTTTCTTTTTGAATATATTTTTAGTATCGTCACTCCAGTCTTCAGAAATCATTCTAATATGCTGCTTTTATGCTCAAGAAACATTTCTTATAATTATCAATGTTAAAAACAGTTGTGATGGTTCACATTTTTTTGTGGAAATTGTGATATTTTTTTAGGATACTTTGATGAATAGAAAGTTCAATGAACAACATTTATTTGCATTTATTAGATTTATTTATTAAAGCATGTATTAAACAGAAATCGTTTGTATCATTATAAATGTCTTCTCTGTCACTTGACCAATTAAATGCATCCTTGAAAAATAAAAGTATTAATTTCTCTCTTTTTTTAATCTTAACCACAAATGTTTGAATGGTATCATTGTTTCCACAAAAAAATGTTAAGCAGCAAAAACTGTTTTCAACATTGATAATGATAATCAAATCAGCATATTAAAATGATTTCTGAATGATCATGTGACACTGAAAATTTGTAATAATATTTCACAATATTACTGTTTTTACTGTATTTTTGATTGAATAAATGCAGCATTAGTGAACATAAGAGACTTCTTACAAAAAAAATAAGCTTTTAGAAGCTTTAGAAATATTTTTTTTTATAATTGAACATTATTGAAGCAATGAATTTTGGAAGATGAATGTCATGATAATCATATTTTATTCTATATATACTATATTATTTATTTATATAAATTGAATAATTTCTTTAACATGCTTTGAACAGCAAATAAAGAGAGTCAAATTTGATTTATGTAGTCTTTAAATACAGTTTGTCTGAAAGTTTAATTATTTTAGACAATAGATACACCAAAAGCAGTCAGGTAATGACAGAGGAAAGTCACCTGAAGGAATTTGACCATATTAAGTTTGGGGTTTGCTTCCTTCTTCTCAGTCGGAGCCTTGCTGAACAACTCAGCTGGATCGACTTTATCCCAGTTGTTATACTTTCCTGTAAAACATCAAGGATAGGGAATATTAGACTCAAGTTCGCATCGTCTTGACTCTTGCATGCACATTACAGAATTTTCCTGCTTATTAAAAGCAGTCCTACTGTACTGAATACAAGACACTTGCCGATAAAGTCCAGACTCATGACGTGTCCACACACTGACGTCATCTTAAACCTCACATTTTGGCCCACAAAGCTTCCGGTGTACTCATGGACTGAGCACGCTCCATTTATGCCTTTTCGGGTTGAACAGCTACCTATAAACAAAAGGAAATAAATGAAACGCTCATATAACTTTTGACTTAACTGCACCTGTCAATTGCAAATTGCTTAATGGCTTATTGCACATTTAACAGGAATAAAAGTAAGTTTTTTTAATCATAAAAACTACACTTAACCTTAAAGATACACCTTTAGGTGCACTTTACTAATCTAAATGACACTTTAAGTAATCATTCAAACACAATCTTACACTTTGCTTATTCCATTGATACCAGAATATTTGCATTGAGACTCTTTCCAAAGTCTGTAAACGCAACAAACACGACCATGTAAGCGTTCTTATGGTGGACATTGACGAAATCAGGCTGAAAGAAGCTGGTGCTGGCATTGAGCGATCCATCATAAAGTGAAATGAGAGAGCAAAGAGCTGATTATGCATTATTCTTTTCATTCATTTTTTTTCCATTTTGTGCTGTTCCCAAGGCTGAACTCTCATATCCAGACGGAGTGAACGAGCCTAAAAAAAGCTTGATGATGATGTTGATGAACCTTGAGCACTGGCTTACGCTACGGTCCATTGGAGGTCTCCATTGTACAACTTGTCTCAACTTGTACATAAATATAGCCCCGAAAAGAGGGGATGGACACATTTGGACCAGCAGATTTACCCCTACAGGCAACAGCAAGCCTCCAGCATCTCATTCCCCTCCTCACTTCCATTTGTCCACGATACAGCATGCAACAGCTACAGGTAAGTCACCAACACCATTCACACAAGACTTCAGTAAGATTTTGAAAGAAGTCTCTTTTGCTCACCAAGCCTGCATTTATCTGATCAAAAATACAGCGAAAATTATAATAATATAACAATTTAAATCAACTGTTTTCTATTTTAATATAATTTAAAATGTAATTTATTTATCTGATGCCAAGCTGAATTTTCAGCATCATTACTCCAGTCTTCAGTGTCACATGATCCTTCAGAAATCGTTGTAATATGCTAAATTTGCTGCTCAAAAATACATTATCACATGTAGAAAACAGTCGTGTTCCTAAATATATTTGTGGATTCTTTGATGAATAGAAAGCTCAAACAAACAAACAGCATATTATGTCTTTACTGTCACTTTTGATTAATTGAATGCATCCTTGCAGAGTAAAATAATTTATTAATAGATTCTGGTTTTACTATAAGGAAGAACTAACATTTTACCTGTTATTGGCCAAGCTAGCACAATTATCAGCCAATACGGCAAATCTTAAATTGGCCAAAAGAGGCCTGGACGATTTAGGTCTATAGCTAAACTAAAAATGGGGATTCAAACCTGAAAGCTAGCCAATACCTTAGGATAAATCTGCCTGTTTATTATAAATTGGTTAAAAAAAGCCACAAACCTATAGCCCATGACAATGTTTTAATAAACTAAGCCTAGTTATTTATTCTTCAACACTGAAGATTCAGATTCATCACTAAATTGCACTGGATCTGTGAATCTAGGCTGTATAATTTGGCATTAGCTTCAATCTATGAAGGTGTCCACAATGGAAGGACTGCTTGATACTATTGTCATCCACAAACCACAAATAAAGAAGTCCACATGACAGGTGCAAACTCATAGGTGCTGACGCCTACTTCTCATTCTCTCACTCAGATTCTAGGACTCCTGAGCATTTTTCTGCTGGTCTTGGACCCCAGCCAGTGCAATCCAATCACGGCCCAGTGTGTGGAGCACACTTACTGCTCCTCCACGCTGAAAGAGTACCACACACAGCTCATCAACCTGCCCAGCAGGATCAACGAACGCAGCGTCGCCGCATGGAGCTACGTGTGAGTTGAGCAGATGTTTGAGCCCTTTTAAAATATAGATTTACTGCAGGTACATTTTATACAGGATGCATGCATGCAATCGTGTACCTTTTGTAACAATTCAGATTCAGAATTTGACGGTCTGTATTTGTCCTAATTGGCATCAAAATGCAGACAATGTAAATCTGAAAGACACTGAAATGTGGTATATATGAACATAAATTCTTCTGCACCAATAACAGGGAGAACCTCGACCTGGACCGTGTGCCACAGATCATCTATGAAGCAAACTGCCTGAACAGTCATTCCTGTAAGGGGGTCGACAGCTCTTTCAGTCTGGAGAGCATCCCCATTGCTATCAAAATGCCCTTTCTCAGGAAAAACCCACGATGCCCAACTTACGCACTGGAATTCGAGGATGTCAACATCGCCTGTATATGTGCAACATCCAGACAGAATTAGAGCTGTGGGTCTGAAAATTCATGCACTAGATTCCTTTTCAATTATTATAATTGTGTAATTTAAATTGAATGTCAACCACAAAGAAGTCTACTGAATAATAATGCTTATTATCTTAAACACCACCACAACGCATGTACTGCAATATAGATGTCTTAAGTTGCCGAATGCTTGTAAACGTGAATAAATAAATTGTATTTATTTGTTTTGCAATAAAAACTTGCACTACTCGGGTTTCCCATTCATTCAAGAAACAAATGTACAGAAAAGATTCGTATTTGTTTAGAAATACTCATGTTAAAAAAACACCCTGCTTTTCCTGCAGTTTAATCAAATTAAAAGTATTTAAAGTAGTTTCTAAATTAATATGTGGCCAAAACGGCATGTATTGTCATTTTAAAATAATTAGAAACGAAACATGCTATTCAAAACAGTTTTAGTCAAGGACGTCACATTGCAGGTGTTTGTCATGTTAACTACTCAACTTGTTAAACAGGTATAACAAATGTAACATTAATAAATGAAAGAGTAACTCATCAGATCAAACAGGATATGAGGGTGCTGTTGTATTAATAAACTACCAAACCAAACCATTCTGCCTGCAGTAGCATCATTATGTGCAGTAGATTTAATGCATATAAATGTCATACAGACTCACCTTTAGAGAGGATTTTGGCAATGGACTGAGCCAGAGAGGGCTTCTCAGCCACCATAAACACTGTCCTCATCGCTGCTGGTTGTACTTATCTGTCATAAACACCAACGGGACCTGACAATGAAATAACAAAAGTAAATATCTTATTTCAAAGTTAATAACTAAAGCTAAAATAATACAAAATAAACTTAATAAAACCAATAACCGAGATAATAACACACCGGTATGCTGCAGTCACTACTTCAGGCATGTTAACTTCCGGGTTGTTCGTATTTTGTCAAAATAAAAGCCCCGAGTTTTATCCATGGTTTTATCCAAAATATTTTACTACATTTACTACATCTGTGTAACCGGGGGTTAAAATAACAATTGAGATTAAATAATAATAATAATAATAATGAAAATATATGTTTTTTACAACTATCAACAAACAAATAAAAAACACTTTATATATTAATAATGTTTATTTATTTATATATTATTTATATATTCAAATAACATTTTATAAATAAATAAATAAAGGTTTTTTCTTATTTATTTAGTAATACTCAACAACAATACTCAATTCTCATTCTTAAAAAAATCAATTTGAGCTCTGAAAATGGAAACAATAATTTAACTAATGTATTTAAAAGGCAAAAACACATATTCTATATTTTCACATTTCTGTATGAATGAATTATTGAATATTCTCTATTTTATTTTAATTTAAAAAAAAAAAAATTATATAAACGGACGTCAGCAGTATTGACGCATGCGATCGCATTTAATGGCCACTAGATGGCGGTGTGACATAATAATAATCTCTTGATCCCTCAAACAGATTTGTAGCAGCATCGGACTCCAGATCACTCATGTGAAATCCCGCCAATTAGAAAATACAGCACAGGACAGTTCAATTTGTTCAGCCAGTTTGTTTAGTCAAATGTCCAATGCTTCATAAAAAACGAGTCGGGTGAGAGAAAAAAGAATGTAATGTAAGGGGAAGACGAGTCGCTCAAAAATGAGCTTGTGTCTGCGACCCCACAGATGGCAGAGGGAGGGTGGAGTTGAGTTGGTCTCCTTCAGCGGACTGATCAATTGAACACATATCCAACCCACAATGCCTGCCTCCTCCAGTACTGACTCATCTGGACTGTCACAGCACACACACTCACTCACACAGATCATTGGATGACACAGATAAACCGATGAAATCATGATCCATATCCTATTCGCCATTAAGAACAGAACATAGGCTTCGGTCAAGGAGCAACTCGAACATCAATCCGCAAAGAGCTTCACGTGTAGTACATGCATCTGATTGGGTGACATGAGTCATAGTTTCTCATTTTCATCTCTCCTTCATCTTCTCTTACTCATAGACAGACACATAAACACATTTAAAGCAAGAAAAAAGCAGTGTTTAAGACCAGGAGAACATTCAGCACGTTGAAAGGAGGAGGACAAAGACAAAGAGAGAGACAAGTGAATGATTACAGGGCCTAGGATGGATGAAATTACAGACATGGGTGAACAAACAGCACTTATTTGCTGCTGTTTCCCTCTCTCCTTTTCTCTCTCGTGCTCATTCACAGATACATTTAAAGAGGTTTTGATGGATTCCCTTTCAAATGTACAATAAACATCACAATACTGTAGGCTATATGTTGGATGAACGCTTGAGAGAGGGCGGAATTGACTGGCAGGACGGGGGAAATGATCTTAACCATTAAAACTCTTGCCAGTAAAGATGTGTGACTCACCCGCTTGATCTAACCAGTGTTGTAACTGTAGAAAGCAAACAGAAGAACAGAGCTGCAGTGGAGATCTCACTTGTTGTTGTCTCTATCGTTCTTTCTTTGCCATTCTTTTTTGATGATCTTGTCCTTAGCACCAAACCAACACAACAGGAGTGCTTTCTTTCATGCTAAACTGGTAAAAAAACCTAACCCTTAAACCCATCAAGCCTATGAATCATATTTGATAGATTAATTTATAGGCTTCTAAATTATGAACATGATTGCTAAAAAAACAAACAAAAAAAACTGTTGTACACAATACCTTCTGCCCTGATTTAGTTATACTTTTTAGTAAGTAAATCCCTTTGTAAAAATGACCTTGAGGTTGTGGTATTCTTACTAATTTAAGAATAACTGATGGGCTATTTCAAAATGAACACTTACTGGACAAAAGTTTAGATTATCAATACATTACTTTAAAAAAAATCATATTAAAATAAGAGGATCATATATGATACGTCAGGCTTTTGAGGAACGTTTATTTGTTCATCTCACAGTCATCTTTGTATTGCATTATAAAATGAAGCATTTGGATATAAGACATATTATATAGAGTGACAAATGATATTATGTGCATTTTATGTAATCTGTAGTATTGTTATAAAAAATTCTCATTGATTTACATTAAAGCTATCAGAATTGCATCTTACTTTTTGGCATTATAAATATCAGCAAATGCATTAAGTTTCGACCTCTTCGAGTATGAACTCCATTCTCATATCATACAAGCCATAAAAGCATGATGCCTCGAATATCAAATATTTTTTGTGAAAGTTTTCCATTTCAAAAAAATTATTTTTCTGAGTACTATTTCAGCTTCAGGGGTAAATATCACAACTGTTCCTCTTACAGCAATCAGATTAAATGGAGACCAAACTGAGACTTTGCATGTGTCTCTTTAAGAATTGCAGATGAGATCTGAGCTATCTAAATGAATTTCTTATTTACATATAATGTTTAATTTTAGGAGAAATATCTTGAAACCTGCACAAACTTGTCTGAGAAAAACAATTTTACTCTCCACAATCCATTTAAACATAAAGGATCAAGAAACAACATTTTTTTAATCATTCCAAGCAAAAAATCTAGCTTGTTAAACATCATAATATGATTTGATTTTTCTTTCTTCTGAGCCTCGCTCTAGAAGAAAAGGTTCTATTTGAGGTTCTATTTTGCGAGGCATTAAACATATAGCTATAGAAATCATTGGATCATTTTATGGATTTTGTTTCAATTAAATAATTTTGTTTTAATTCGTTTTTAAACATACTTCATCACGAGAGAAAAATTAAATAGTCTGTTCAACATGAAAGTATTATGCTATCATTTAATACATTTCTCCATATAAATAAACTTTTTGGCATAACAGGTTCCTTAATATTGAGCCAAGGAACCACAGGGTTCTCTTTAGAACCACATTGAAACTTTTTTTTTAAAGAAGGTGCATGGGACTAAATTAAATTCAAAGTTAAATAACTTTTTAGATCAATGAGGAGTCAACATGAGCAGCTTTATTCCCAATACAGATTAAAAATAATAATATTTAATAACATAAAACATTAAAGTGTTTGATTCGTGTGAATGTAATTCAAATGTTGAAGAGAGAGCACACACAGCTGATGTGACTTTTGCTGTGTTTGTTTAGTCATTGAACAGGAACATCTCATGTGTGCTTATATGTTATTCTTATATTTTAGTTAAGAAGCAACGTAATCATCAAAAAATGTATGTTCTCATGTTAGTTAACATGGACATATTCAGATATCAGGTTAATAGTTGCCTATCTCTTCTACTTGATCGTCATCATCACTGACCATATGAACACTGGCCATTATTGTCCGCCTCTTCCTTCTCTCGTTCTGTCCTTTTCCTGTCTTTTATCAGTGTCCTTCTTCCCTCTCATCTTCACACGTATCTATGAGATATGCAGGAGTATACGAAGCATTCTGGCACTCCACTGTGAGGAAGGTGAGGAGTGGTTCAAGGTGTGATGATGAAGGGAGGAGGGGAAAACAAAAAGAAAAGAGATTAAAGAGGAAAGCTGCTTCTGGAATTGTATTGCTTTTAGGAAATGTGAATATATAAAAGACTTAAGTTCGGTTTACATTCTAAAAAATAATGTAAACCAAACTTAATTGTTTTATGGATTACATTTACATTACATTTTACATGTTAAAAAAAAAGCAATACTTTTATTCAGCAAGGATGCTTTCAGTTACGACATTTATAATGTATAATGTAAAGATTATGTTTAAAAAGATGCTGTTTACTTTCTATTCAAAGAATTCTGAAAAATGTATCAGCTGTTTCCACAATATAATTATCAACATTCTTTTCAACATTAATAATGAGAAATGTTTCTTGAGCAGCAAATCAGAATGATTTCTGAAGGATCATGTGACATTGAAGACTGGATGAATGATGCTGAAAATCACAGGAATAAATTACATAGTAAAATATATACAAATAGAAAGTGGTTGTTTTAAATTGCAATTCTATTTCAGAATATTACTGTTTTTAATATGAACAACTGATTGATATTTGCTGAACATCTGATCAGTGAAAGATCTCATCATATAGTTTACAAAATAAATAATGCATTTTGTGTTACAACAAATTGTTTGGATTGTTTTCCAGAAATAAACAGACAAATTGGGGTTAAGTACCACTCCTTAGATAAACAAAATAAATTTTGTTTTTATTTTCAAATTTTGAAGAGGGAATAAGCTTTTAAAATGACATCATTTAAGAAAATTAAGACTCAAGTTACTTTCAAACAGTCTTTCGATATT